AAGAACCCTAGCTCCAGCACACATGGCCCTGCCGGATCTGTCTCGGTACCCGTGCTACCTCCTGCAGCGAATCAGCAGCCAGCTGGAACGGGTACCCCAGCGGGAACAGGCGGAAACGTCCCTGCGTTGGGCATTTTACGTGCACTGGACCCCTCGCTTCCACACTCTCACCATGGAAATGGACACGGACATCACCCCTCTGCATCTGGTGATGCTGTGCCAGCACCAGCGCGTCCCAGTATAGGCCTCGAGCAACGTTTTGGAAGTGTCAACTCGTTGGTGACCCAGGAGACTTTTGATGCTTCCAGTACGACTGTTCATGGGTCTCAGGGTACCATATCCGAACGTCCTATGAAGAAGAAGGATGGTGGCGGTGGATGGTTCCGAAGCTGGAACCTTGACAGAGACAAGGAGAAGGAGAAGGATCATTCACACAGGGACAGAGGTCATGGGTCATGGCAGCTCGTAGGCGGAAGAGATGAGGAAACGCAGGGCGAGTTAACAAAGTCTATTGGTCAGTATCACTGCGTCTTGATCTGTTGTTAGCACTGACAGCTCATGTGCAGGCTACCTCACAGCAACTGGTCAAGAGGATTGGGCACTCGTCTTGGATGTCTGCGAGCGTGCTTCTTCCAGCGAAATTCAAGCAAAAGAAGCCGTTCGTGCATTACGTCGAGAATTCAAGTATGGTGAGCCGTCAGCGCAGTTGAGTGCCGCAAGGGTAAGTGTACACCTGTTCGCTTCTGATATTGATCTAACTGTTGATCCCAGCTTTGGGCAATTATGCTCCGAAATTCCAACGAAGTCTTCATTGCACAATCAACATCGCGCAAGTTTTTAGACACCTTGGAGGATTTACTGCTTGGTTCCAAAACAAACCCTGTTGTCAAGGAGCGAGTGCTGGACGTACTTGCAGCAGCGGCTTATGCATCTGCGAGTAGTGAGTCGCGTATCCATATTGTACCCAGGCCTGTTGTTCAACCTGCCCTTTACAGAAAGAGACACTGGTTTCAGAGGTTTATGGAAGAAAGTCAAGCCACATGATAAACCAGACGAGGTTAGTCCCCATCTCTCTCGTACTATCTGATTTAACATCATACATCATATGTAGGGCGTGCCCTTTGACACCGACGATGCCATGTTCAATCCTCCTGTAATAGCTCCTGGAATGGCTCCTGGAAATCGTTCCTCGATGGTGTATAACCAGTCCTTGCCAAGCCCTGGCCCTGGGTATCATATGCCAACATCGAACACTAGCCCAAAGATCCCAGCGAACGGTAACACGTCGGGCAACAACGCTCAAGTACCCCAGGATATACTCGGTCCTGCAATTGGGGTTACAGGCACAAAGGATAAACGGGACAAGTCTGACCGGGAACATCGCGACCGTGACCGGGACCGTGAAAGAGACAAGGATCGCGAACGAGATAGAGGTCGGGATAGAGAGCATCGTGACCGTGACCGTGACCGTGATCGAGAGCACAGAGATAAGGACAGAGACAGGGACAGGGACAGAGATAGAGACAGGGACAGAGATAAAGAACGGGATAAAGACCGCGAGCGTCGACACAAGGACAAGAACCGGAAACGCAAATCGCCCAGCTCGCGTAATCGGATTATACCCCCAGACGAAGATATTCGTCGGTTATTCCAGGAATGTAAAATCGGCATGGGCAACGCTAGCTTGTTGGCAGACGCGTTGCTTACAACTACACCGGAGGAGATCCTCAATGGCTCGCAGGGACTAATAAAGGAGTTTAGGGGGAAGTGTTTGAGCAGTAGGGAGTTGATTGCTGCGCAGATACCTTGGGCGACTGCTGGTGCTGAACGAAGTCGCCGGGAGAAGGATGCAGCGAAGCAAGGTGTTGCTACTACTGGAGATGCGAACGAGGATTCCGACGAGCAAACGACGGAAGAAAAGCTTTTGGCTGATCTTCTGGAGGCAAACGAGGAGTTGAATAGAGTCATAGACCAGTACGATGACCTGGAAAGGGTAGCAATAGAGAGGAAGGCAGAGGAGGATAGTAAGAGAGATGTGAGGATGGATAAAAGGGTGAGTTTTTTTAGTGATTTTCCGGATGACAGCTCGTATTGCGGTATTGATTATTGTTTCACAGGCGATACATGATCTAGAGCACCAACAGCAAGTCGAAGAGATGTACAACTTTTCTTCGTCGGGCGGTAGCAGCGGCGCAACACCGTTCTCGAGGTCAAGGAGCCCCAGTCCATCTGTTCAAGGACATGGTATACCACCACCAACACTTCGTCCGGGCGCGACTACGGGAACAGGGTCTCGACCCTCGTCTATCGTTCATATGCCCGTTACTTTTGAAGGACAACAGCACACAGCGATGTTGGCGCCACCTCCAGCACCACATGGCCCAAGAAGCCCAGGTGGACAAAGAACCCCTAGCCCCGGCACTCCAAATCCTTGGGAAGATCCGAACGCTGTTCCTGCCAATGGTCTTAAGCGGCTTAGTATTCACAACACCCCCAGAGACAACATCGATACAGAATCAGTCGTTCAGACACCGATATACCCCTCTGAAAAGGCCCTGGGCAAGAAGAAGGCCATCGAAGCTGAATCTATCACTGTTGCTCACGCTGATCCCGAATCGGAAGATAACTATGTCTATGACTTTGATCATAAGAATGGCATGAGGGATGCCGATTCTGAATCGTTCATATCGGATTCATCAGACAGTCGGGATGGGGGAGAGCATCATTGGAACTCGGAGTATCGCTGGAAGCATCCACCGGTACACTACGTCTATGACGCCGCGGCGGAGCGTACGAAGCAGAGAATATTGGAAGGACAGCTCAAGACGAACATTGTGGTGTAGAGTTAATGGCTTACGCATGCATCTGCTCTGCTAGGTTTCATCTTCTTGATTAGTGGCTAATTTATTTATTCGAGCGCATTGCATTTAGTAAGGTGTAGCAATAGGATTTCTGTTCATTGCTTGGTAGTCGTCCAGTAGTCATCAAAATGACGGGCATCGAAAGATGTTGGTTAGACGTCTGACCGTGACGTGTGCTCTAATCACGTGCTATCCATGTCTTGACTTAGCACAGTGAAGCGCCGTCGTACTCTTCGATGTTTCGAGGCTAAGCTCGAGTTTCCAGAGCTTGTCCAGCCAAGCTACGTAGTGTTTAGCAGCACCACAAACTCATGTGCATTTTCATGTTAAAGTGAGTGCTCTGTTCCTTGAACTCGAACCTGTGGTGATCGTCGTTCACCCAACGTTCTTCAACGTTATCTAGGTCCATGAATGATGATTGAACGAAATTTAACGTTCGTGCCTTTGATTCAAATTAGTTACTGCAACCGGCAGTTGAATCATGGATCTGCTATCATCTGCTTCGAACGTCGTACGGCCTTTGTTCATGGATACCATCAGCATATTATGCTCAAAACTTCCACAGCTTCAAGTCTATCATGATGTTCACAACTCAGAAAGGGATTGAAGATCTCATTTCTGAATCTTACATTTACTGGGAGGACAATGCGTAATTATGCGTTTATCCGGTATACGACCGTATCTTACCATTTCGCCTCGGCCCTCGTTCCGTATCCTAAAAGAATGGCATTCCGCTGTTGTCGGTGGACGTCGATCTGCAATGAAGGTAAAAGGTGCACTCCCGACAAAATTCCTATTGAACGTGTTCAATCCAAGTGACTGGACTTTGTAGATTCTTCGGGAAGCTCCGACCCCATTTGTATTTCAAGATGATAGGATGAGAACGGTCTTGTTTGGAGGCTATGATCCTCGGGTCGACCAGTGGGTCCGATGCATTCAGCTGCATCTGGACGATAGGAGCGACAAGCTGAACGGACTACTGGACCAGGCTTGGCACTGGCAAATGTGGCATCGAGGTAAATGATATCGATAGCATCTGTGTTTCAAGGTATCGATGAGAGCTGATAAATGGGCGCAGAAGCTGCGAGTCTTTTGATGCGTATGTATAGCCAACCGGTTAAATTCGCAAAAGGCAAGAGTCACCAAGAAACTGTAACCTGAATGTAAGTTGTGGCCCTTTCGTGTATCCAGGTCTCCACTAACCTGCCGATAGTATTCGCGTTCATCGTGGCGCCTGTCGTGCCGTCGCAAAATTACAAATATACATGAACCGACTTGGAATATTTTCGACGTGAAGCAGCGTCTCAGCCTTGTGGTGATGTGTGCCACCGTGAGATGCCTCCATTCTATCCCCCTTGGTATGGGACTAGAAAATCAATATTCTCATGCTCTGAAACAAGTCCCTTTTACAGAGCGTTCCGTCACACCAACAATAGTCAGGTTTAGTGGGAGAAGATACCGGCAATCGCTGATCCATGTCATTGAACCGTTTCATCGCATTCTTGGAACTTTGAAATTGGACAAGGTTCTCCAGACCAGTGCTCACGACGGTCTGGAAGTCCCGCCCTTCCATAACGACTGTCCGACTCGAAATGATGCTTACGCCGCGTTGCCACAGGTTGCCAATCCGCAGCCTTTTGTATATTCAAATTCGGAACTTGGTTTCTCTGCTTCCTTCCTGCTGTCCAAATCCCCTGGCGCGAATCACTATTGAAATGATAGCCATACTGGTATTTCCAGTCTGGCTTTGACGACTATCATTGTGGTCATTGTGGTGTCCTGTTCTCTACTCGGGACGCTTTTGTGAAAAGCCGTTGGTTTACTTGCAATCTTAGGATTGTACCATCCTGAGTGCCGCTCACAATCGATGCTGGACGTCTGATAATCATGGTGTTGAACATGCGGTTCAGCGACGGACGTACGAGGCATCGGGACTTGTCGTTACTAAAGACCAGCCAATGTATACCGTTCGAGGGAATTCATCGTCAGAATGATATGTACACCCTTGTCCCGGCCTCTTCCTAGCTATTGTAAATAATAGATGGGAAAATTTCCATCGTCGCGAGACGCCCCCGATGCCTCATATATCCCAAATACGCCTCTGCCTTGTCCTGCGCTTCAAACGGAAGAAAAAGGTCATGCCGACTGGCTGGATTGAACAACCGACCTTCGCATTGCGCAACAAAGGGCTGCTACAAGTGCGACGCACTACCACTGTGCTAAGCCGGCTTTAAATACATAGAGAGTGTCAAAAATATGAGGGATTTGAGAGGAAGGACGAGGAGGAAGAGGAATGACAACTTTGATTGCGTTGACGAATGTAGCGCACGTGTAGGGGGTAAAATCTTTGTCAACATAGTATTGATCTGGGAACATACTTTTCTATCCAAGAATTTTATCTAGTGAGCAGATGAGGACTGAGGAAGACGAGGAAGAAGGACGAGGAGGAGAAGTACTTAAGCGCCCCGGCGCCTAGCGGCAGTAACGCCAGATTTGCCGCCGGCACTTTATAACTCGAGAGGCAGATGTCGGAGTCTGATTTCTGACCGTCTTTAATCAAGGCAGTTTTAACTACTGAAAAGTATGATTAGGTTTTGGGGGCTTGCGAGGCTCGCATATGCCTCCACGTTCATTCTGGTTAAACTTACGATTCGACGAATGCTCGGAATATCACGGAATTTTGTTTCATCACAGACTTTTCCAGGTTCGCCCCAGATCTAGAGGTGAGAGCAGCGCACAACGGGTAAACTTAAGATTCGAATTAGCAGGGGTAGTTTGGAGAAATGCATCTCGTGTTGCGGGATTGGCTAGCCATGCCTGCTCCTGCCTGTAGAGCTTCTACACGCACGAAATTTTTATCCCCGAGAGATTTGGGTGTATACGGTAGAGGACGTTCTTGCACCCCGGCGCTAAGTGGTGGTCTGTGAAAGACTAATTGAAATATGAATCCAGACGAAGTAGGTCATTTCGACGACACAACTTGTAACAAAAAGCATTTCTTTGCAGAGACGATATGGATAAGCACTTTGGTAACTTGACGATGTAATGCCGAAATTGCCGCGCCGGCCCTTGACCTCGAACCACCTAATCAACATGCTCTGTACTCCTTCTCTCTTTTCGCATATCCAGGATGCGAATAATCGACCTCATTGCACTATCCGGATTTTTTACGCGAACGTTATGTTCTCCTCTCCTTTCCCAGTCACCTCTATCCATCTACCAAGCCAGAACTAGCCTTCCCGTTCAGAATTCGACAACATCCTTCTGGTTCGTCGATGAAGCTGCGAATCCGCTAGCAAAAGAGGGAAGCGATGGACCGTTGACTCAGGAATCAGATGTCTGCATCATAGGATCAGGTATAACTGGAGCGAGTGTTGCGTATCATCTCGCTGGAGCAGCGAATAACAAGTCATTGAGAACTGTCATCGTGGAAGCAAGGGATTTCTGTGAGTGGCAATTGGCACAACATGGATAGATTGCTTACTGATTACAATAGGCTCTGGTGCTACTGGTGAGGCATCTATGTTCCTTAGAAGTACAATCCTCTAACAATACAAAGGTCGCAATGGAGGTCATCTCACACCTTACCCATTCAAAGGCTTCAAGTTCAACCAAGCCGCGTACGGAGTCACAGAAGCCATCAAAGCTTTCCTCATAGAAAATCGAACCACTGCGGAAATGATCAGGGTTGTTGAAGAACACGATCTTTTCGACGTCGTAGACCTCGTAAAGGGCGGGCACATTACGCTGTTTGAAAGTACTCTGGATCCAAAGCTAGGAGAGACTCTAGCTGATTGGACTGCTGCCAAGGAAGCTGGGATTGAGTTGTCCGATGTCGAGTGGCCGTCGAAAGAAGAGGTGAACAAGGTGTGCTATCTTATAAATCTTTCGTGATTTGACGTCGCGTTGACGTGAATAATCAGATATATGGTGCGCCTTATCCCGGCGTAACGTGGGTCGGAAACAACATCTGGCCTCTTAAATTTGCAACGCAGCTATTCTACCTTGCACGAGGAAGGAACCCGAATTTCGAGCTCAAATTACATACTCAGACACCAGTTACTGCGGTCGAGCCCCTTAGTGATGACCGCTGGTCTTTGCAAACACCACGAGGCTCGATAGCATGTCAATACGTTGTACACGCTACCAATGCCTATGCAGGTCACCTCGTACCACACCTCAACGGAGAAGCAGGCATTATCCCTACCAGAGGACAAGTTATCGCCGTGCGCGCCAAGCAATCCTTATCGACTTCATGGTGGAAGTCATGGGGTGGTTTGGACATGTACTGGTTCCCAAGACCAGTGCAGGACCAAGAACAGCCGCCTCTAGTTATACTCGGAGGTGGTAGAATGTCTGCCGAGCCGCCCTACGAATTGACCACCGACGATTCGACGACTAGTCCATTAGTGGGTAGAGTACTACGCGCTTTTCTTCCAAAGATTTTCGGAGGTGCATTTGGGTCGGACAGTGAGGTTGAGATGGAATGGGTAAGCTGTAGTCGGCACAATTTACGGGTGTTCTAAAACGTTCTTTCAGACTGGTATCATGGGTTACACCAAAATGACGGATCCATTCGTGAGTTTTTATTGCTCAGGCTCAAGATAAAGCTTTGTCGCTCACCTTTAATGCAGGTCGGTCCACTTCTCGACCCCTTGGAACCTCAATCAAAAAAGTACGAAGGCCAATTCATCTCGGCAGGCTACACCGGTCACGGAATGCCTCGCGCTTTTTCATGGTACCTGTCAGATACCTTGCTGTGTTGTGTCAGATACTAACTCTTGATGTATCAACAGCGCTGAAGCTGTAGCTTCGATGATTGCTTCAGAGATAAACAATACTCTATGGAAGGCACCTGAATGGTTACCAGACAGATATTTGACATGGAATCGAGATGCTGATGGTGGATTGAGGAAAACTACTGTTTAGGATTCACGAATACGTGTCGTAGTCAGGACACTGGCTTATGGCTGCGATGCAATGTATGTATGTCAACTATATGTATCGCGTTTCACCGTTGTTCCGATATCTTTACGACAGAAACCGACAATATACTCGTTGTAAACCGGGCACTTCACAATCGCATTCCAAAACATTACTATCCAGTACATATACAGAAGAAGGGTCAATCTGGTGGTACACGCATTCCGAGAGGTGATATCGAAAGAAAGGCATAAAGGACGAAAATCGAAAGAAACGCCAAGGGCTTGCCATTAATCACAGAGCATCAATGTCAGAGAGCGGACCTTCAGATCGTTGGGGGGTATGTCACTGATCTTGGTGTGTAAATCATATCTCTGGCCCGCCATACTTGTGAAGAATGTCTTCATGGAAGAAATCCGTTCATAGTGAGTTCTTTCACGGGAAGCCTCCATGGACAGTAAGCAGCCTAATTGCGAACTGGTAGAGATGTTGTCTGTTGTAGATGAGATAAATGAGTATGTCGAAGTAACATGAAGAGCAAAAACTCACATGTTACTTTCCTAGAGTATATCACCTCCCAGGAATCCTTCACTGTAAGGTCAATCTCGACCTTCTCGTCTTCCTTGAACGGATTCTCTCGATGGAAAGAGCTCGACTAATCAAGATCGTTAAACCTCTACTGTGATTCGTGACAGATGAAAAAGACCAAGACTAACCTTTTCCAGACAACCTTCAAGTGCACTGGAGCGATCTTCATCTCTAGCCTTGGACGTTTGAATCCGTCCCTGCCATGTTGCCCATTGTTCGTTAATCTAAACGCCAAATCAAAATTCGTGGTAAGGGATTCGTCATCTCAACGGTGTTTACCTGGAAAGATACAAAACATTTCTCGAGCGATTTCTGTGCGCGTTCGAAAGATGCCGCGATGTTTTCGCTGATTTCGGAGGTGATGCCTTGATCCTGCTTCTTCTTTGCTCCTGCAGCTTTGTCCAAGGCGGCTTGTACGAGTTGGAATGTTCTACAAAAGTATCGTTGAAATCCCTGAGCTATAAGCCGCTGTTGCTGCTAGTATGACTCACGTTTCGAGGAGCTGAGCAGCATCGTGCTGATTTTCCAGGGCCCCGAGCTTCATGACTAGCGCCTCGCATATCCTAACAGCCATAACGGCTTGCGAAAAGTATGGCCGTTTAATTTCGGGCACTCGAGCTTTCAGGCTTAGGTAGGACGGGGGGACTCGGATGTTTTGGGGTAGATTCATGTGATGATAGAACCCTGGCGCCTCCGGTCCTCCGTCGTTGGTCGTTCCGGGCGGTCTCTGGAAAGTTAGCTGAATGGGTTATAAGTAATCCATCCGACTGTGGTGATTGTGTGATCCGATGTTCTTACCGTTCTGATCCAGAGCAAATAGTCTCCTGCTACTTTCCAGGAATAACTAGCTTCCTCTGTCTCCATTAAGAGTTTGGATATCCTGGTCAACCAATGAAATAAGTGACAATTCACTTTATGTGGTCCAACGCTACTTCACCTCTTGATTTCCGCCAAATCCCTCTCAGCCAAGTCAGGAAATTTTTTCTTCACAAGCCATAACGTGGCATGGATGAAAATGGCTCTTGAAGCGGCGAGCCTAATCCAGGATCTTGCGGTCTCCTGTGATGCAAATTAATCTAGATGCCGCTAAGCAGAAACACGAGCTCATAGTCACCGATTCCGAGTCCGTCGGCTCCCTGCCAGATTCCAAGAATGTGTCCCATGTCGGTATATGCTCCACCATCCTTTCAAGATGACGAAGAGTTGTCTGGATACTTTCTGATACATGCTGGGTCCTGGTGACCGTGATTCTGATGGTGTTCACCCAGTCGCTGGTTGAAAAGTAAATGCGCCGAAGGGAGCGAGTGAACGCATTATGAACATATAGCTAGAGAGTAGAGATCGAGGCAAAGATGAGTTTGTTTCTTTGAGCGTACATAGCTTGAAGAGAACTAACGCTATCTCCTTTCCAAACATGGTCAATGAGATCCTCTAGAAGACCCATCAAGGTTTTGAGGCCCTCTGTATCGTCGAGTGTTATGCCTTTTAATTGTTCGAAGATCTCGTTTTCTTGGTCGACGGCCACAAACAGATCACGCAACGATCTATAGCCATAAAAAAAGTCGGTAAATATTTGACATTTTTGGAGCTGAGAGTGACGTACCCCTCCAGGCGGTCCAGATCGTATACGAAATGATCAAAGGCATTCCATCTTGCTATCTCGTCCTTGCCCTGTGACACGAGTTCAATATTGCTATGAATCGTGTCGCAGGTTTCTC